AGACGATTCAATCAGCATGGGCAGCCCTGATGCAAAGACAAGCCTTCCAGGGAGCCTGTGCTTGAGAGTTCACAGCAGTCTCAGGCAGCAGAAGTGTTGCAAGGCTGATATCTGAAAAGGGGGAAAGGAAATATTGATCCAGCAGCTCACAGCCAGGAATGGAAAATGTTTGAATCTAAGATGTAGGAACCCAGCCGGAGGTGAAACTGCAGGACATTTTGGGGGCTTTTGCAAGATCATATTTATTAGGAAGGCAATACACACAAGAAGACTTTTCTTACAGATTACAGTTTCTTACGGTCTTTTGAAATTAGCTTTTTTAAAATTTTACCTGAACATAATTGAGCTTGTTAGATGCTAAGTTTGTAGGGCTGAATTCACTTCTTCCCTGGAATGAAAGAGGCCAAGGCTTTCCTTGACTTGAGAAGACAACTATCAGAATGCCTTTGCAGCTTTGAGATCTCAACCCTGGAAGGTTCCTAGGAGCAAAAAAAATTATAGGGAACTCCAAATATTCCAGAAAGGGCCGTGTGATCAGTAGTCAGGATTTTTTTTAAAAAAGTAAAAACTAAATGACAGGACAGGTGGACTGCAGCAAGACTGAGACATCAGAAACTTACAGTATAAAGAAAAATGAATATGAGAATATGCTTATATATTCTTTTCTCACTGGAAATAGCAATGCAGGGAAAAAAAGAATCTCTTTTAGAGCTACAGCTCAATAAGGATGGAATTCTCTTTCCTGTTGTAGCGCTATTCTTAATTTTTGACTGTTCTCAGGAATAGTTATTTATTTAGGATCTGTTTTAATTTATCTCTGTCTCAGACTTATTCACTGTAATGTACTAGCTTTGGAAAATAAAATTAATCGGATCCTTTCCAGTTGATGGTATTTCTTAAGTGATTTTTTCTATAACACATTCTGAACATTACTGTTGAAATACCGCTCAACTACATCAGCATACTAACTTATTTTAGTTTAGCATGTCTTGAAAGATTATTCATACATCAACATTGTTGTAAAATTTTCTACCTGCTTGGCTTTTTTTTATTGAAATTTGAAGTTCTCAAATTTCTGAACATTATATAGGATTGGACTAGATCAGTGTTTTTGAAATTTGACAACTTTAAGATATGTGGACTTCAGTTTTCAGAATTCCATAGGAAAGATGATCCTTATGGGGCCCTCTTGGTCCAAAATGAGTCCAAAAGTCCATGCTCCTATGCACCCCTTGATGGAAGCCTTTTCTGCATCCTCAAGCACACACATATATATATACACCAGCTTGTTTTAAAGCAATACATAAAATCTGAAGAAGATACACACAGTTTAGGCTAATGCCCAAGGCACAATTATACTCTACTGTGAAGCCTTATAACCTACTTTATGGATCAGAGATTTTGCCAACTCTCATTAAAACAATTGGGGGGAAAAACAGAACAAAAACAAATGAGATCTGGATGTGTGTCTCGGAGACAAAGTCAGAGAACAATATAATCCCAGGTTCATGAACATTAAATGATTTATAATTGGGCTTGATTACTAGGCACAAACATCCTGGTACTGGAAAAAATTAAATCCACCAGATGGTCAATAAGTGAGTACAAGTACATTTTAATTACCAAAGAGGTTGAAAGTGGCTGGTGCATTTATAACACAGAAGAAAAGAAGGAAAGAAGCAAAGCAACAGGGGCCAGGCCTTAGGTCTGATGCAGAAAAGCAGCAGCAGAGGAACTGGCTGAAAGCACAGCGTACTTATATTTCTCTGCAAATAACATGCCAGGTCTGAAGGAACAGGCCACTTCGAAGATGAGGAGCGTTCTCATCCATCATTTATCAATGCTGCCTGCTGTCAGGGAGCTGTGGGTACTGTTAAAGCCCTTTACTGTTAAAACTACTATTGCTCTGTCTGTCAAAATCCAAATAAATCTGTGGATAAAGATCAAAGTTAATGCAGCAGGCAGGGAGGGGGCTGAATTCAGATTGGGACTACATTTAGAAGTGTCAATCACATCCTGCATATTCAGTTTGATCAAACATGTTAACTAGCACAGGTACTGAGGTAGCTTTTAATCAATCTGGAGGAAGAAAAAGAGAAAAGAATCAAAAGAGACCTCGGCTGGATGCTGGTTTTCCTTTTAATGACATTCTAATTTCCATGGATCACACCATGTCTGAGCATGTACAGACAGATTTGTGGCAAAGCCTACTGCTATAGGCGGTTGCACTGTCAAGTAGATAACAAAACGAAGAAGAAAAGTCAAGACAGTGGATAAATAACATTCCCCTATTTCAAGATCTGAAATGTTGTTACTGCCATCATAAAACAATAAAACATTTGTGAAAATTGAGCCTACCCAAGGTTATTCTTACTACAGTTAATAAGATTACAATATAGTTTGCACAGATCTGCAGTCCAAAGCATACAATTTATATGAAAGAAGATAGGATAAATGCTCAAGGCATTTCAAAATGTATATTAACATATTGCATAGTTTTTAATTCCTTGTTAAGTTCAGCACCATCAATGAGTAGGTGACCTTAGAAATTTAAATTTCGAACAAATAATTCCTGTCTTTTCAAAAAGTCAAAATAGCTTCCCCAACTTCGTGCCCTGTTGTATTACAATGCCCAAAATTCCCACACAATCTTGGTCCATGTTTGGTAGCCATTATAAAAGTTTTTAGCTTAAATGGACTCCAGGTGGTGGTAGAGGACAGGAAGGCCTGGAGGAACGTTGTCCATGGGGTTGTGATGGGTCGGACACGACTTCACAACTAACAATAACAAATAAAAGTTTTTAATGCAACACATCTGTAGACTACTAGATATGGAAGGAAGATGATTCTACAATTTCAGTTTGAGGAAAATAATAGTGATAGAAGTCCTCAAAAAAGAGCCATCCAGACAGTAAGATGGGTAATACATAAATTTAATGAATAACAATAAATAATAACAATTTACGGATACTCTGCAACAAAAAATGAAGTATTCTATCCAAACCAAACTTGTCTCTCCATGACATATTTTAAATGCAATTGCATTTTGGACAACATTTTAACCACTTTATATTAATTTTGTGCATAAAACCAAACTGATCTTTGCTTACTGGCAAATTTGGCCCTTAAACATCATGAAGACAGGCAAAAGTATTCTCTTTCGGTAGCAGCCCTGTTTATGCTACGCCAATAGGAACAGGAATTTAAAGTCAGCTTAAAAGTTTACTTCTAATTTTCTGGTCCCTATTTTTCAAGATTATTAAAAGGAAGTACAAATTAAGCCTCACCCAGTGCTTCAGACTAAGATAAGGATTTGCAAAGATTTTCTGAGAAGTATAAATTACTGGTTTAAGAAAAAATGCATTTGTTATTTGAGCCAAGGGTTGCCTGGACCTTGAAATAGAAGACTGAGACAAAAAAATAAAGCAGTCCAAATAAAAGTGTACTTAATTAAAACAATATTTCAATGCATTAATTACAATGGAATGTATTTAATTTTAATTAATTTAAAAGATTTAATTCTCTTATATTTAATAATTCAATAGCAAGTGTGGGAGAGCTCTGGGGCCACACCTGAGACTTTTGAGGAGGTCATGTGGCTTCGTAGCCTCAATTATGGGACTCTGATTTGGAGCTTAGAATACTATACTAAAATATAGTTATGGATCATCACTTAGCTATGGAAGATATTATAGCATGAGTCTGTCTTATCTATTTATCATTTCTATCGTCTATATCTTCTCTCCCCCCCCCCCCCATTACAGCTCTTCTCACTAACCTAGCTAAGGACAATAAAAATCAAAACTAACACTCCAAAAAACATTGGTAAAGGCTTCATTTCAGGCATATAGCTCCAATTACTTCATTTTAAATGTTCATATGTCCAGACAAGGCTTTCATTGATCGGCTATTATGATGCATTAAAGTATCTGTTTTAATATGTGCATATGTTGTGAATTTTTGTGAGGAAGATATTGAGTAGATGTGTTCTGAACATTTCCTGTTCCAGATAATCCAGATAAAGCATTTCCTGTTCCAGATAATCCAGATAATTTTGTAATTGCATGCACCACTGCTGAAGATTTAGAGTGAGCCATTCTAAAGAAAATCAAAACATTTTTTGGGGAAAAATTTCTGGTGTTGGATTGCTTTTTTTTATACATTCAGAAGAAAGCTGCTCCTTAAACAGATATGAATTTACTACTGATTGATTTTAATATCTAAGCAAAAAGAAGTAAAATATTAACTAGGTCAAATTATGGCCAGATTTTCCACAAAATTGATAGAAAGCCCATTCATGGAGAGGAAATGAATCCTGGCTTTTAGTTCAGCGATAGATTTTTTTCATCAACATAAAGTAATATTTTTCGGGGCATCCTAAACAGCAGGGTCACAATGGCACCAAAATTAACACCCTTTTAGTGACATTGTGATTCAATTGCTACATCTGTACTGTATTTGCAACACGGTTTTCAACACAAGTATGCGTACTTGAATTGATAATCATAGTACTTGTATTGATAATCATGATGAACTTTCATCATTCAGCACCTTGGCATTATATTTTAAAAGGAAGAGTCTACCTGTCCACAATCCATTTCATACATCTTGCAAATAATACATTTTAAAGATACAATAAAATATGCAGTGTTTAACATATGTCAATATTTTTCAGCCAACCCCCCTCCAAAAAAACACTAGACAGTTCGCCTTCTCTTACATCTTTAGTAAATGGACCTTCTTCAGTCTTATGTTCCTAATAAGGTTTTTTGTTTTATTTCACTAAAATACCACAGAACACAAAAATGATGACTGCCACTCTCACTATAAGCCAATAGATTAAAAAAAAAAAACACATGTCGCAAGGGTAAAGGAGTCCCTGCGGATTTTACTCTGCTAGTCGATGCCGCTTGCAAAAAAACAACAACAACCCGGGACCGGTGACGAAAACACTTCCAACGAACGAGCAGCAGAACGTTTCTGTCGTATTTTGTCGTATTTTGAACTGCTTCGGCTCCCGTAATTCCCCTCCAGCTTCCTACAATACTGTGGAGAGGCTTGTCGAATGACGGCCTAGATATGGAATGGTCGTTTTGGGCAAAGCTGGGTGTCTCAGTCCTCTTTTTCCCTTTGCTGATTCTTTTCGTCCTGCGGTTGGTGAAGCGACGTCCTGTCACTCCTAATGCTGATGTCAAACTCCTGGTGGTTGCCGGTTCTGGTAAGACAAAAAGCTAGGAACGGTTCCATTACCACGGGTTGCTGTGACCATCCGGACTACATTACCCAGAAAGCAAAGCAGCCGCTAACAGCAAGGAGGCGTTCTTGATGCTGGCAGCTGTGCTTGCAAGACATGCTTGGAAATTGTAGTTTCTTCGAAGAAATTTTGCTTGGAATTGGGTGATAATCTGTTTAGAGAGGAATCGGGGGTTCTCCGGCTAATATATCACCGCTCCATTCTTGACTTTAATTCTTAATTTCAATTGCTTAATTCTTCCTTGACAATAATTGTCAATAGCGTGAGATGAGCATGACCCAGGGGTAATCTCAACCTGTATGTCCCCAGGTTTAGACCAACTTTCTGGCTATACCACCCTGGTTCTTTGGTGTAGTTTGATGGAAATGTTATAATGGCATCTTAGTAGAAGTGTCTCTACCTACCTAAGTATTTGAAAAAGAACGTTTAATACAGGTAGTCCTTGACTTACAACAGTTTGTTTAGTGGCAGTTCAAAGTTCAGCACTGAAAAATGTGACTTATGACTGCTCTTCACACTTACAACCATTGCAGCATTCCCCCATGATCATGTGATCAAAATTCAGACATTTGGCAACTGACTCATATTTATGACTTTTGCTGTGTTTTCAGGGTCATGTGATCCCCTTTGGCGACCTTCTGATTAGCAAAGCCACTGGGGAAGCCAGATTCACTTAACAACCAGGTTACTAACTTATCAACGGCAACAATTCACTTAACAGCTGGGGCAGGAAAGGTCGTAAAATGAGGCAAAACTCACTTAACAAATGTCTCACTTGACAATAGAGATTTTGGGCTCCATTGTGGCCACTTTTGAATTCCAGAGTGAGTTCCAGTCTGCTTTTTTTTTTTCTTTGCCCTGCAGCCAAAATTATAAAACAACAAAACTCCTGCCTCTTCCTATTGCCTTTTTCTTGAGGTTGGGAAGCAGGAAAAAAGCAGCTAGCTCTTTTATACTTGATAGTAAAATTTACACATCGTATCAAATATGGTTTATTTGATTTTGATTCAGCATACCTATACCTAGAACTTGTCTTTTGTAAACCATGGTTTATGGTTTAGTTTGATGTCACACTAGGCCAATATAATTTACTCAAACTGGTTAAAACTAATCATAGTTTAGTACTACATGGGCATTCACATGCCTTGTCTCTTTGAATTGGGTTATGTTCTATACCAGGGGTCCCCAAACACCGGGCCCTGGACCGGTACTGGTCCGTGGAACATTTTCTACCGGGCCGCCGGTTTGCTGGGCGCCGCCATCTTGTTTCGATGAGAAAGTGCTTCCGGGTGAGCTTTTCCGGTTGGAAAGCGGCGTTTGGGTCCTGAAGGAATCCTCGCGCCTTAGTTTCATTGAAGGAGGTGGTGGATTCGAATGAAACTAAGGCGCAAGGATTCGAGCGACCTAAGGCGAGCCGAGCGACCGTCCCGAAGCCATCCCGAAGCCCATCGACAAAGGTACAAAGGAGGAGTTGAAGGTGGCGGGAGAAGAGGGGGACGGCTGGTTGGCCAGTCGCTCAGCTCGCCTTGCCTTGTCATGCGTGCTGATGCCGGTACCGGGCCGCGGATCATTTTGTGATGCCAGTACCGGGCCGTGGCACAAAAAAGGTTGGGGGCCACTGTTCTACACCACCTAGTAGTTGATGGGAAATCTGTTTTGCCACCTCTTGCTTTCTCTTCCTTCCTCTCCCTCCCATACAGTGAAACAAATAGCTAAATTGATCATCCTCTCCATTTCCTTTGGTGCCAGTCATTCTGTTCCATTAGCCCAGGGGTGTCCAACCTTGGCAACTTTAAGACTTGTGGACTTCAACTCCCAGAATTCCTCAGTCAGGAATTCTGGGAGTTGAAGTCCACAAGTCTTAAAGTTGTCAAGGTTGGACACCCCTGCATTAGCCCAAGACAATGTGTTAGCAAACAGAATTGAAGTAGAAAGGGACAGGTGAGTAACTGGAGACAGTGGCAACTATTACTTGTCTGGTTTTGGTGTTCTAGATAGTGAACCACCAACTAACCAACTACATAGTTTAGCTTGCTGAACAAGCCCTTATGGTTAGTTTACCATTCAGTGATCAAGGAAAGAAAGAATTTGCTTAATTAAGGAAACTGTATTTAAGTTAACTGTGGATAAGTATGGTTTGTAAAATCCAGCCAGAGGTGAGGTTGTACAGAGGTAAATCAACAGAATGAGAAAAATTCTCAGACTAGGTCTGTAGAACTTACAGAAGTTAACTCTGTGTACTTTCAGGAGGACATACAACAGAAATCTTAAGGCTGCTTAATAGCCTCTCCAAGAAATACTGTCCCAGGCACTATGTTTTGGCTGATTCAGATAAGATGAGTGAAGAAAAAATCCGTTCTTTTGAACAAAAAAGAGCTGCAAAATACCCCGATTCCTCGGTGAGTTTTTACACCTATTTGTCTGATTGTTCATATTTTGTTAAATAGTAATGTCACATTTCCTGTTAAAATACTATATGTTTTCCCAATTTGCACTGAAGTTCCATCCCTAAATTTTTCACTTTTCTCATTAACTTGGGAGGCTGCTATGCAGGCCAGAGAAAGCTTCACTATGCATCCAATTCCAGAGGAAAAGAGCTGGCTTTGAGGTAATCTAAGAACACCTGTTTCCTCTAAACATAAACTAACACTATACAGCTGTCTTTCTAGAACAAGAGTGTCCAACCTTGGCAGCTTGTGGATGGTGATGGCTGATTGGGGAATTCTGGAGTTGAAGTCCACAGGTCTTAAAGTTACCAATGTTGGACACCTTTCTTTTAGAACTGTTGGCTCTGCCTAATCCGTACCATCTGCATATATTGGAATGGAATATATCTGATCTCTAGGCCAAATGGAGTGAGGTTTCCTATTTCTTCCCAAGTTCATGAGTAGGGAGCATTTTTTGAAAAGGTTGCTGCTGGGTGACATAAATCCTTTCCTCAAGCTGGGATCCCTTTATGCTTCCACCTTTCACTGTGCAGTGGCGCTTTCCATATCTTGGGGGCTATTTAAAATACTCTCTGAAGCCTAGAAAGTGGGAATGTTTTATAACAAGCTAAGGGTAAAACATCAAACAAACATATTGGGATTACATGCTTGAACCAGACTAGTGATATGTACCCCTGGAGCATGCTTGCTTGAAAACAAATGTCCCTACCCCTGTTCTGAGCTAGACTACTTCTAGCATGGAACATGTGCCAAGGAGAGATGTAGATCTTCTGCTGACTCATCAGGGAGATGTTCTGATGATGTGTGACCTAATGACCTTGGGAGACAGAAGGAAGACCCACGGATGAACTGAGCTGTACGATAAGAACAATAGCAATAGAACTTAGACTTATATACCGATTTACAGCCCTTTCTAAGCAGTTTACATAGTCAGCATATTGCCCCCAACAATCTGGGTTCTCATTTTACTGAGCGATGGAAGACTGAGTCAACCTTGAGCCGGTGAGGATCAAACTGCTGGCAGTCAGTAGAAGTAGCCTTCAATACTGCATTCTAACCACTGTGTTACCATAATTCAGTCCACAGGTGCAGGGGAAAGGCAAGGGAACTATTTTAGAGGGGACACTCCCTAGTTTCCCAGAGATTAAACATAGAGCAAGAGGAAAATACTTTTTTTCAGTCTTGCCAGATTCTGCTTAATGTAACTTTACCATAAAGATAGTGCTGATGCCTCTGGTTGTGCTTCTTGCCTGGACTACCTTATAAGGCTATCAGATATTTTACTATACTAGAAAGCTGACTGCTTGATGAATCTTGGGTCCTCATTTTAAAAAAAAAAAGATTCCACAAGCCTCATGTGTGCTTGCTTTTATTCTAGCAATAATTTTTTTTTTAAAGTGGCATAGCCTAAGCGTCAGGACAGATTGGTTAAGCATTGGGGGGTTTGCAATGTCTTGCATTGTTGAACTGACCCATGAATAATTTCCATTAATTGCTCATTACACATTTGTCACTGTGTGTTTTAAGATTCTAGAGATAATCCATTAAAATATTCAGATTTTTTCCCCCCTTAAAATTTCCAGACCAAAGTGAAACACTTGACAGGGCTTAAATTGCTCCGGATTTGGGGGTGGGGGGACAGGATGGAGGGACTGTAGCCATAATCTTTTATATGCTTCAATTTGTTTCCCAGTGGTATTTCATTATTCATGGGGAAGTGAAGTGAACTATTGGAAGTATTCCAAACCACAAGCTTGCAATCCTATACACATTTCTTGGAAATAATGTCTCTTTGTACTCAAGTGAGTCCAAGCAGACTATGTAGGATTATTCTCTGGCTCTAATCAAACATCATGATTCACAAGATAAATTAGCATAATGTGCAAACCCAAAAGCACCAGAGCGCCAGAAGAGGGGAGATCACTTTTCAACCTGAAGCAACCCCACATTTGGTTAGGGCTCAACTGTCCTTTTCAGTCATAGCTGTATACCAAAAATATGAGCTAACATAAAGTGAACCCTCTCTTCGGGCTGTATAATATAGAGATGAAAGCCTAGAATGCTCTCCCTCAAATAATGCTTTTCTAGCCTTTCCAACTTCCTTGTTTTGTTCGTTTGGATTACTCACCTTGGAGATACATAGAATATGCCTACACCATAAGCAGAAAATTCCATTTGTGTCTGGCATTATGATGCTTTTCTACTAGCAATAAGATTGGTAGCCACATTTCAAAATTACATTATCCAGCCTGACACTTCATAGAAGTGGTAGACATCTATAATCCACCAACATGACTATTAGCAGATGTTTAGCTTAGACTACTGTAACCTGATAAGTTCCAGATGAATTGGACTCAACTGCTATAATCCTCTGGGCAGCACGTCCTTTGGCCATGCTGGTGAAGACTACATAGACCGATCCAACCCATTTGAAGAGCGAAAGATTGAGGAACTCCTGTGTATATTTATCTAGCAGGCCACTCAAATAGGACGTTACACACACATTTCTAGTTTCGTACCTTATTCAACTCACATCCAAACTTGTTCTCTTTACAGCTTTGCGAGGACTTCTTTCTTACTTGAGTTAATATGGGACATAGCTAATTCCCAATTCTGCTTCTACAGTGAAGATAAACTGAGAAGCTTGGAGGTGGGTGGATTGAAGATCCACACACACACGCACAAATAATCGCTTTCAGTGTAGAATTATAGAAAAACATACTGTTTTCATTTATTTTTATTTTTGTAAATAACCCAGTAGCCACACAGTGAGATAGGTGGCAAATAAATGTAACAAACAAATCAAACATCAGAAAGAAGAATGGTGTTTCTTAACTGATAGATGGCTTATTATGTGTATATTATTGTGTGTTCTTTTCAGTTTGAGCTATCAAAAGGCCAAGAACATGAAAGCCATGTTTCTATTGGACTGACTTCTAAAGTTTCCATTTTTACTGAAACATTTTTGTGTTTGCTTTCTGTTGAGCAGGCATTGTCTCTGACAATTGTCTTTTGTAAGATTTTGTACTGCATGAGACTGCTTTCCTGCTGCTACCCCAGTTCCTTGTCTAATCTAATTACTTGTCAAATTCTAAGGATTGTGATCCTGATGAGAACTTAAATAATTGATCCTTATTACATTTCTTTCTCAGATATAAAAAACATGGAGGTTTTGTTCCCTTTGAGGTACTGGAGGTTTTTGTTTTTTTCTCTCTTTGTTTGGAGCCCTGTATTTTCCTGCACGGAAGCAGTCGTCCTCCTCCTCCTCCTCTTACTACTACTACTACTACTACTACTACTACTACTACTACTAATAATAATAATAATAATAATAATAAGCCTATCCCAGGTCCTTGGTAAGGACTCGATAGGTAAACAAAAATGCCAAACCCAGTCTAAACATCTGGCTGACTGTTCGATTAATAACAACAACAACAACAACAACAACAATAATAATAATAAAGAATAGTATCCGAATCACATAAATAGATGAAAATGTAGGTTTCAGAATATTTAGATTATTGCTATACAAGAGGCAGTGTAATCTAGCATCTTGCATTTGACAGTAGTCAAGCAGTTGCTGTGTGTGAGTTGGGTGGTTACGTGTATAAATTTGTTAAATAAATAAATAAACAAGTTCAGGAAGACAGATGGGCATTAGTCACTTCCATAATTGCTGAACAGCAACTGATACTTAAAGCATGCTGCTTGTGATTCTAGAAATCCACATCATCAAGATTAGTAGCTATTGATAGCAATCTAATTCATGGAAATCTAATCTAGTCTTTTGTGTGAAAGGAGATGAAATATGTCTTCTAAAGATAAGATATCCCACATATGGGATTGCATTTCCAATCATGAACTTTGTTTAAACTGCTATTGCATTGAGTGAGAACATGAATTAATTAAATTGTCTTTTAATCATTTGGGCAACAAAATTAAGTAGAAAACTCATATTTGGTGTTCAGGACAGTGGACTACCCTTTCTAGTGTATGAAAGATAGCAATAGCATTAGACTTCTGTACCGCTTCACAGTGTTTTACAGCCCTCTCTTAGAGGTTTACAGAATCAGCATATTGCCCTCAACAATCTGAGTCCTCATTTTACCAACCTCAAAAGGATGGAAAATTGAGTCAAGCTTGAGCCGGTGTGAACGGAGCTGCCAAACTGCTTGCTGGCAGCCAGCAATCAGCAGAAGTAGCCTGCAGTACTTGCATTCTAACCACTATGCCGCCACAGCTCGAGATATTCAACCTAGTTTGATATCTTACTTTTAATCTTTGCTTTAGAAGAGAATATTTGTAGCTCAGGGTTGAACTGTGGAGTTTTTGGCTCGGATTGCTTGGTACCCAAACCACCAAGCTCAGAGGGCACCAAGGACCTCACAATCTTTGCTTTGGATCCGTGTTTACAAAAGTGACACTGGACTTAGGAAATAAGGATTTTATAGCATTTTCTTTCTCATCAGTATTTCTACATCTTCCATTCATTTTGTTTAGGACAACATTCCAATGATCAAGTGTTTTTAGATTAAGCACAAAGAAAAAAGACTTTGGATATAAATAAGAGCCAATCACCAAGGCATCTTGGATTTCTTGGTGACTTTAAAGAAAGACTAGATCATATACTGAAAAAGGGGTAAAGGCCAATGGCTCACAGAGTTCAAGATACTAATGGATCTGGTGTGAACCCTGAATATCTGACTGATAATGTATCTTAATTTTCTTGCTTTCTTACTTTGCTATATGTCATCCTTCTTTGTTTAGTTTTTTATCACTTTGTTTTCTTTGCCTCTCTCTCTTATTCTCCTTTCTTATCCGGCTTGCACTGCCTGTTCCTTCTTCATGCCCCTTCGCTAGTGGTGTTCTTTTTGCTTCTGTTTTTCAAATTTCCTAGGGTTTGTTTGTTTTTTTCTTGTCCTTTTCCCAACCCACAAAATTTTGGGACCTGTCCCTGAATTTGAGTCTCAGTGTCATAGCACCCTCTACTGATCATGAAATAAGTTACTGCTGTAAATAATGTGTACACATTCTGATTTTAAATCCGTGGAAGCTGTGAATTTGTGTGGGGAGAGTGGAGAGTAGAAAATGAAGGCGAAAGATTCTTGATTCAAACTTGATCACATGTGCATGCAGGTTTCTTGAGGGCCGCACAGGTGGGTGTAGGTTTCTTAAGGGAGTAATAAAGAACCAGTTTGCCACTACATTCTCCTGAAATGTTTTTTTTTTTCAACTTCCCTATCTAGTCTTCAGTGCTGCTAATTACCAGTCCAAGTAGCAACTAAATCTAATCCTGTTTAGCATTGTCAGTCAATTATACTGTAGTTGGCTACATGCTGCCACCTGCAGTAAGCTGGGGGGGGGGGGGATAAATTATTTTTGAAATTATTTTTAAACCCAAACAGAAGTGAAGTAGTAACATGTGAAAACTACTTCATAATATGAATGCAAGGAATGTGTGAGGAATGTTTGTGTGAGGAATGTGTGAATTTTTTTTTTAATTTAAAACGATTGGGTTGTTTTTGGCCTAAACCCACCCATTTTTGAGTATAGCCTTTGGACTGCCACAAAAGCTAACACAGCCTCTTTTCCATGGGAATCAATATTGAAAGCAATTTAATGTCAAATAATCAAAATAGAATTGTATAATTATAAATGCAACGTTCAGTTGATACAAGTAGTCCTTGACTTACGACTGGTCACTTAGTGTTATACAAAATTATGAAGGACCCCCGTAAAAGCTACTTACAACTCAATTCTGAAGTTATCATATCCAGGAACTTTCCCAGTGGTCATATGATTGCATTTTCGCCCTCAGCAACTGGCGCTTGTTCACAGCTGTTTGTGACATTTTTCCAGAAGTTGATGTTTACTTCTAGTTTCTGAAAAAAAAATGCCCCATAACAACCATCACTAAAAAGGTTGTAAAATTGAGTCCAGTTATGTGATGACCCACTTTACGATTATCACAACTTACGACTGTATTTGCCAGTCTCATTTATGGTTGTAACTCAAGGACTATGTATTTTACCTCTAAAAAGAACGAAAACATAAATAACAATCCCAAAAAGATACATTTTATGCAAGGCGCTATCTCCGACGTCTAATGTTGATAGTCTCTAAGTACCTTCTGTAGGAAGGACAACTTAATGAGTCATGTTTTCCTTTGACCAGCTGGAAATGATGTAGACAGAAGACCAGAGATCTGTCTCATGGAGCTATCAGCTCTGTGATAGTTATTCAGTTTCCTTGGGAACTTCCCTAGGCTAGATCTTGGGTAGTAAAAGATGATGGTTTTGTGGTTTCATCTGACAGTTATTATTATACGCTTGATTCGTTGTAAGTCTGATTGCAAAGATACAGCATGTGTTTTGATGTGGTTCTGTTTTGTACTTATGAAACAAAACAAAACTAAGATTAAACATTAATGCAAGTAATATTCAAAGCTTGACAGGTACTTCTAAGAGGGTATGAACTCAGAAGATGTAATTTCATATTTTTAACCCAGAAATAGACTGAGAGATACAGTGGTCTAGAGGTGAAGACGCTCGCCTCACAATTAGGAGGCTGAAAGATCAATCTTTGGCAATGATACATTTTTTTCTATCAGGGCATAAAGAGAAAATATCTGCTGCGAACTCCGTATAGGCATTAGGAAGGGCATCTGGCCAGTAAACACACAGCTCCAGTTGCCTCCACCCCAATAAAAGGGTCATAAAAACCCAAGTGGACTAAAGGTAGAATCTATAGACAGTTATTTGTAATAACTTATAGACAGTTATTTATCTCAACAAGATCCTAAACTCCCATTTTAAAATAAATGCTCATGGATTTGGATGGGTAGATGCACAAACAGACATGAATATAGGTATGGGGGAGAGAGAGAGAAGAGGCTGCTGAAATGAAGACAATTCAAGGTTGTCGTTTTTTAATTCAAGAGCTTTTTTTGCTGAAAGACTGAATTCAGTTCTGAAAACAAATTCTTAAGCTCAGTGTCTGATCAGAGAGAATCAAATACCTTGATTTTAAGTATGTGTCTTTGGATGATTTGGGGATTTTTACGAAGAAAAGGCTGGAGTCTTACTAACAGTTATCCACCAGGTGGGGCACTTGATCTAGTGCTACATCATAGGATATGCCAACCTTCCCAAAATCACTCAAAAGTGTCTTGTTTTTAGTAACCTGGAGAGGCTGGTTGCATGCTAACTACAGGAAAGATCACAGCCTCCATGGCCCTACAGAAAATGAAATAGTCTATCAGGAAAACAAACATAACTTCCTGCCCAGGAAGCTGTGGGAGTTACTGTAATAAGTTTCTGCGAAACAAATCATAGAGTTGGAAGGGACTTTGGTGCAGGATATTTTTTTTTAACCTATGGAAATTAAGCAAACAGCAGGATATACCAGCCTGGCCACTCCTGGTAGAGATAATACTGGTAGTTGCAAATGAGCCATTAAATATAAGATTGGTCTGTGCTGCCTAGCTCTATATTTCTCAAGGTCTTACCAAAAAGTTTTTCCTGAATGCTGCTTTGAAGAAAGAAAAAGTCTTGGTAACAAGAAATTCAGCATGTATTGTTATTTTAGCGATAGGAAGGCTTGTTTCTTTTTCAAAGAATTTACCTTCGAACTGGAAAGGTTGTCTGAAATTAGCTGAGATTCTTTCCATGTTTTTTGGGAGGGCGGGGAGGGGATCTTAAATGTGGATTCTTCCTCCTTCGGGTTTTTTTGCAGAATTATCTCCCGTGGCTCATGACAATTGGGTGTTGGAATGCAGCGAAAATAAGCAAGAGCCAGTACAAGTTGGAATGTCTTCTTTATCTATCACTGTTTATATAGCCAAGAGTGATCAATGTCTGGAATACTCTACCTGACTCTGTGGTTTCTTCCCCAAACCCCAAAAACTTTAACCTTAGACTGTCTACTATTGACCTCACCCCTTTCCTAAGAGGTCTGTAGGGGGCGTGCATAAGCACACCAACGGGCCTACCGTCCCTGTCCTATTGTTTCCTTTATTTTTCTTATATGTACCCATTTCATGTATTCATAACTATGTATATACTTACACCTATTATCTTGTAAGTGATTGACAAATCAAAATAAATAAATAAATAAAATAAAAGAGTGTTACAGTACAGGAAATAATGTTTAGTACACCCGAATGATTCTTATCTGCAAATCTGTCAAATCTCCCTAGGAATTACAGTTTGCCCTCCATCGCATTCCCAGAAGTCGAGAGGTCCGTCAGTCCTGGAGCTCTTCACTGCTAACCACCATTCGTTCCTTATTTTATTCTCTTCCTTTGGCCTTCAGGCTCAACCCAGATGTGGTACGTAAAGTCACTAGTGTAATGAAACAGTAAAGAAACTAGCCAATTTCAAAAGATGTGGCTACTTGAAAATAACAGATCTTTGGTACAGGTAGTCCTCAATTTACGACCATTAATTGAGCCCAACATTTATGTTAAGTGAGAAATTTGTTAAATGAGTTTTGCCCCATTTTACGACTTTCTTTGCCACATTTGTTAAGTGAACCACTGCAGTTGTTAATCACATGGTTGTTAAGTGAATGTGGTTTCCCCATTGACGTTCCTTTATCAGAAGGTCACAAAAGACAATTACATGAACACTGTAACGGTCATAAATGTGAGTCAGTTGTCAAGCATTCAAAAATAAATTATGTGACCATGTGGATGCTAAAACAGTTGTAAGTGTGAAAAACGGTCATAAGTCACTTTTTTCAGAGATGTTGTAACTTTGAACCATCACTAAATGAACTGTTGTAAGTCGAGGACTACCTGTACTTATATGCATATATTTAGGACTGATTTTTTTGGGGCAGGATTTCCTTGACTGCTGTATTTCGGGCAGTGTGAACCATAGTTTGTCATGACAAATACTAAATCTGTACAGATCTTGGATTCATGCACAATTGCCACTGCTGTCTCCCCCTCCTTTTTTTTAAAAAAAAAACAAATTTTATTCAGTTTTTGACATAAAAACAAAAAGCTCTTTTTAGTGGACAACATATTTCCGGGTCATCACTTTTACATACAAATATGACAACAGTTATACATTCATATATGCATACTTAATTCTATTATTACCTTTTCCATTCCAAATTTTCAGTAAGGAGAGAAATAAACAAAATAATCCTAGTCTCTTACATTAATCTCAATCAAAACATGTTGAAATTCTGATTTAAAAAGACATAATATGACAAATATACATTAGGGCATTGGCTTGTTACAGAGATGGTTTCATTTAATTAGTATTGACTCTATTAAGTTTTCATCAAAGGAGAAATAGTTTGGAAAATCAAACAGAGAGCGTTACTAAGATAGGTGGAGAAGTTTAAAGAGTAGTAATTTAATTCTTTCTTAAAACAATATTTCGTTTACAAGAGAATATTCTTGTGGCAGATGCAAGGAATAGTGACAAAGTTTGCTCATTGGTAACAGTTTAACTTTTGTGCATTTTTTTTTCATTTGCAATAACTGCCAAAAAAAAAAAAAGAACAACCTCAGAACAGTTTGCCAAATGTTACATGGACTTTGCACTGAAAAAATCTATTTTATAATTTTAAGAGGTATATAGCCACACAGTAAATCTATATCTGTCGTTGCGGTAAATCACAGGTTTATCAAATTATTTTCACTTCAGTTAGTGTGTCAATCACACTCGGGACCTAGCTTTAAATAGATAATGCACTGCTTTGTGAGCTGGATGTGCTAGACGTCAATCTGAGCTACAGTTCATAATCCAGAATTAAATTTCTCTTCAACTATACTCTTTCAGGAGTGGGGAATCTATAGTTCTCCAGATGTTCTGGCACTGTTGTTTCTAATATCCCTAATAGCCATGTTGTCTGGGACTGATAAGAGTTGCAGTTGAGGCATATCAGGAGAATGCAGGCCGACTACTCCACAGAACCTCTCTATAGTTTAGATGGTAATTGTTGAGTGATGGGAAGAAAAACAGCAAGCAGAATCCAAACCACATCTGCTTCATTCATACTTCCCAGTTGAATGGATGATTAAGGGCAAGGGTTGACTTCTGAACGAAACTGAAACTACTTTCTTTCTTCTCCAAAAACTAATTGCCTGACATTTTTATGATTGTAGGACAGCCAGAGTTACCCTGAGATAAGATGGGTGGCCAATAAATTTTGTAAATAAATAAATCAGGGGTGTCAAACTCGATTTCATTGAGGGCCGCATCACGGTTATGTTTGATTTCGGGGGGCGGGGAGGCATGGCCAGGGTAGGTGTGGCCAGTTTGACAACACTCGTGTTGGGGGAGGGGTGAGTGCTCTGCAAATGAAAATGGGCTCCCAAGCTCTGTTTTCAGCTGTGACGGCCTCCTGCAATCCTCTGCCAGCCAAAACGGAGCCCGGGAGGGCCACGTGCTTCCCTCCCAAGCTCCGTTTTGGCTGGCAGAGGCACTGCGGGCCAGTCCTTTGCTGTCTCCAGGACAGCCCCGTGGGCCAGATCTAAGCACCCCATGGGCTAGATCCGGCCTGCGGATCTGAGTTTGATACCCCAGAAATAAATAAATAAATAGATAATAGTTTCTCCTAAGAGCAATAGAACAGAGTTCCCCAACCTTTCCAGCTTTGCAGACTGGTGAGGGGAAAGGGGGTGGTTGTACGCAAGCAGCGGGGCCATCACTTCCGCGGCCGGTTCCAAATGGCTCAAGGCCTGATAGTGGGCTGTGGCCCAGGGGTTGGGGACCCCTGCAATACAAGATAACTATAGTGAGAGCCTTGACAAGGACCATATTCCTTCCTCCTCACCTCTGACCTTTAGAAGAGGGAGAGATCTCTCTTTCCAATTATTTGAAGTAATTCGTACAAGAGGAATTTAAAATTAACCCAAAGGACTTTATGCAGCCCAAGACACGTCCAGCTTGACGTGCCCATCCCCACAATTCCTCCTTTGCTTTCTCTTTCGTCTATTGGAACTGCTAGATTAGGAAATAATGCCTCTGTTCCAGGAGGCGATATCCTTCAGCTAACGATCTTTGATTAAAAAGAAATCATTAATCTGATTTGCCTCGTGAGAGACATTACCCACTTCCTTTGAACCAAGTCTCTGGAGACAAGGTCTCACAATAATGGAACGAGAGACTTTGCAACATTTGATCATACTTTCCCCAAATCATTTGCTGCATTAACTGTGTTTTCTTTAATCTCATTATCATACAGTTTATCAGAATCAGACCAGAGTACTAGCTTTGATCTTAAAGCAGCCTCCGCAGCCTCATATATTAATCTGCCTTTGGGTGAGAGTGTGTTTACAGAGCCACTAAGCACCACATTCTTGGCAGACCCCCAGGTCCCGTGGGTTTGCAAGCCTTTGGAGGAGAGGAACAAAAAGTTGGTGCTGAGTTGACAACATTTGTCAGAGATGCCTTCCAGGGAATTCAACAATTAAATGTTTAAAATGGGAAGTACTGAGAAAACCAACAGACAAACCCAAAATTACATTAGCTGCCATGATGGAATTTATGGAGCGTTTCTGGCATTAATCAGTGGAGGCAGGATCATTTTCCTGTTCATGTTTCTACAATATTGTTAATAAACAACAATGTAGGATTTTTGGAATGTTTTTAAGGAGTTCCTTGTATAGAATAACAACTGATCTTGCAAATTCTTGAGTCCTCCCAAACTGCTTTTTAACTGCAGCTGAGAAACCCTAGGAACTTGAGAAATGTTGGAAGGAGATAATAAATTAATTTTTCCATTGCTTTCACCTTTTAGGAACTGGGGGCAGAAAGCACAGACCATCAGTTTGAGCTTTGCTGGTGGGCTAAGATAATTACATAAAGATAACCACTAAAGTAGGCTGTTGCACCACCATGTTTGCATTCCAAGCACAATAGATTAGCAACATTTAATGCTGTAAAGAAGATGGGTATGCCTAGTATTTATTTGTGTGTTATTTTTCAATTTTAATTTCAATGCTTTAAGCTTTTCAATCACATTATGGCTTAGTACAATCTATGAGCCCATCCAACAGTTGCCCCCAAATTACCTTTGCATTGCAACATGGTGGCCCAGGTCTTTATACGTAATTGTTTGTTCTTTCTTATGTCAATAAAGTAACCAAGAGTGCTAAAGTGATATACCAAGCTATTTTACTAGCCCGTGTTCTCCCTTGCTCCATTCTTCACCATTTGTAGTTTAACAGAAAGAAGGGGGAGTGAAAGGAAGGACCTTTGAGAGCTGTATGCAACGAAATTTCATTTTAATGTATGCAGATTAGTGTACGTTCAAAGTGACAATAAAGTTAGTCTAAGTTCTAAGTCTAAGAAAGAAGATAAGGACGAAAACAAACCTTTCTGTTTTGCTGCCTGATAATCAAGAGACCAATCATTTTTCAGTAATTGAGATCTATCTTGGCACAGAAGATAGATCTCAGGAGGTTTTTTTATTATTATTATTTTTAAAAAAACCTAGAAAAATCTCATCAGAATTGTACCAAAAATAAGATTGGGTTTACTTTTAAAATTAATTTCCTGGGTAGCCAAAGGTTCTTTTCTCTTCATTTCTGGAGGCACCAGGATGAAATATCCGCTTTTCAATGAAGCAGGTGCTGCTGTAATTACAAAGGGTTTTTTTAAGCTTAGAAAGATTTTAAAAATCCCCCCAGCCACTTTATAAATGTTAGAAAAAAAATGCCATCTCCACCTGTTCCTGCCATATTTTGTTTCCTGGGAGGGGCAAATCCTAGCTAGGTGGATTTCATTTTGACTTCGTGTTCATCCTGCTGTGGGTGTGCTAACAGTACACATCCCACTTCTCTCCAGACATGATTTGGTGTAGAATTACTTTTAAATTCTTTTCTGGAGCCAGACTAGGCTCCAGAGAGTGAAGCAAGAAGTAGAAGAACCAGTGCTGTACGAAAGACTGTGTGCTTAAAATTTTGGCTGTCTAGATGCTTTGATGACATTTTTAATCATCTCAAGGGATCAATTCTACTTCTTCTGTTTTCTTTTGTCTAATTCTTCCTGTTCCATTGCAATGCCTGAGTAACAACTTAGGCATGCATGGTGAGAGGCAGAAATGGCCTAGAAGCCAGGATGGTGGTGATATGATGGTGATGATGATGATATAATCCTTATACTTAACATTTAACATATTTTAAAAAGATCCTAAATATAATATGAGTCAACTTTGTTATGACAGCTTTGGAAGCTAGGCCAAACTATAATCCCCACAAATGAGTAGACACAGTTGGATGTCAGAGGAAAAGATACTTGGCTGTAGGCCTCCACATAGGTTTGTAATTTAGGCAAAATTTAAATTTAGGGCTTTCTATCTCTTAGT